CCCCGGCGGCGGCGGGGGGAGGCGGTCGCCGGGCGCCGCCCGCCCCGCATCCCGCATCCCGCCGGCCCCGCATCCCGCCGCCGGCCCCAAATGGATTATCTGCGGCTGGTGCTCTCCTGCCTCGTCCCCCTGCACGGCTGCCTGGCCGCCGGCAGCGCCCCAGGTACGGCGGCTGCCCCGCGGGCGGGGAGGGGGCTGGGGGGGCTGACAGGTGGCTGCGCCCCGGAGGATGGGGAGAAGGGAGAGGGAATCCGCTGCTGGGGGGTTAGGCTTCAGCGGGAATTGGGGGAGATGGAGGCTGGGCGAGAAATAGTTGGCGTGCTTGGCGTGCGAGGGGACGTCAGCCCGAGTTCCTTCTGCTACGTTGGACGCACCCGCTTAAAACTACAAAGCGGAGCTGGGTCGGGACGGAAAAGCTGCTGCGGGGTTCGTCGAGCTCCGGCCGTGCTCGCCAAAGGCTCCCCCGGTGGCGTTGGCCCCCGGGTCCCGGCGGGATGCTCCGTGCCCACGGCCCCTTTGCCTCGCTGCTGTCTCCGCAGAGCTGCTCCTGTCCGGCAAACTCAGCGAGTATGGAGTGATCGTCCCCTTCAGCACCGACTGCCGGGGCCGCTTCCTGTCGCACGTGGTGTCCGGCGACGCGGCGGCGGGGCTCGGCCAGCCCGCCTGTCCCCCGGCCCCGTCCCTGTCCCCGTCCTTGTCCCCGTCCCCGTCCCGCCGCCGCGTCCCCCGCAGCCCCCCGGATGAGCCCCCGCAGCGCCGCTTGCTCTATTTCAACGTCACGGTTTTTGGGAAGGAGCTGCACCTCCGGCTGAGCCCCAACCGCAGGCTGGTGCCGCCGGGAGCCGTGGCGGAGTGGCAGGAGGATTTTGAGGTGCTTTTCCGGGAACCCCTCCAGCAGCGGTGCCTTTTCACCGGTGACATCTCCGGGATGCCTGGAGCTGCCGTGGCCATCAGCAACTGCGATGGGCTGGTGAGCTGGGGGCTGGTGGGTGCTGTAGTGGTTTTGGTTTGTTAGGTTGAGGTTTTGTTAATTTTCTGGTTGGTGTGCTAATGGGCGTGGTGGGTTTTAGTGCTGGGTGATCACTGGTGTGCTTACCTTTTTGCTGTGAGGTAGGATTAGGAGGAAGGTAAGGTAGGCTCAAAACTTTTTTAGAGTATAAAGAAAAATTTATTAACAGTAACTAAAAGAAAGAGTAATAAAAGTCAGACAAAACCTTCAGAATACTTCTTTTCACAACATTTTCTTCTCAATGATAATGTAAAGAAACAAAATGTAAAATTATCACTTCCCTTAATGCCTCCCATGCAAAACCACCACAGGTGCTTTGTGTGTGCTGCCTGTGTTTTGGTGTGGTTTCCTCCTCAGAGATGAACCCTGGTGTCCTGAAACCCCGATTTTTGGGATGCTTTAGGTGTCTGTGCCCTGTGTTGCCCTTAGGGCCTTGACAGCAGCAGGTCTCCTTTCCCCGTGTGGCCCTGGGTGTTCCCTGCCTGCTCCATCAGGCTGGTCTGTGCACCAATATTTATTTAAAAGGCTTGGAAAAATTGCCAGTCCTGTGCCTGAAGTGCCTCCTGCCCAGATGCTGTTAGCTCCATGGGCTGTGCCACTCATGGTGATGCTGTTCCACCCTTGCTCACCCGTGTTTTACCTTGGGACTGCTCTGGGAACTTTTCCTCTGTGTTTCCCACCTCTTAAATGATGCTGTGTGAGCTTGAGCACCCCCTGAAATCAGGGTTAGCTGCAGTCTGGCTCCCACCAAGCATCTTTTTGCAGGAGGACATATTTTTCTTTTTTTTTTTTTCCCCTAATCACTCGGGGGCTCAGAGGCTCTTGGCTTTCTGAGCACAGTTCAGCATCAGTAACTTGCTGCCACAGTGCTTTAATTCCTTTAAATGGCTCTGTTACCTCATTATCCCCAGCATCTGCTCTGCCTGTGGGTTCCCTACCTTTGATAGGCTTGGGGAAGTGCTTATTTTTTAATACCCTTGGCCCGTTGCCCTTCAGATTTCCTTTGAGCCAATTTAAATCTTGTTTTAGGTGCCAGGGTTTGCTGTTTTCTCCTGCTACCACTTAAACTTACTGCCGGGTTGGAAGAAATGCCTTATTTTGTACCTTTTTAAATTTTTTTTTTATATGTGTCTTTTTTAGTTGCTTTATTCTGGGAGCTCCTTAAGCCAATTTTGGCTACCAGCACAAACAATTTGGCATTCCTTTCTTTTTATACAACTCCTGATGCTACTGTACAAGCAGAAATGATAGAGCAGCACAGCTAGAAATACGTATTTCGCCTACATATAGGAATTAAACTTTTTTAGCACATAATCCACACCTTTTGAAGCATCCTTTTGGGAATGGGCTGAGGCTGTGGACTTGCAGACATTTCTCTGGGACACGGATTGCGCTGGGGCCGGCCAATGTGGGCAGGCTTGGAAGCTTTAAAGGCATTTCCTACAGACCCAGCAGAGAGTGCCGAGTGTGGAGCAGAGAGCAGGGTTTGGAGCGTGCAGCTTCCCTGGCAGATCTCATTCCCTTTGGCATCACCAGCTAAAGGATGCTGGAGGGGAGGTCCCCGGCAGCTGATCCCTGTCCTGCTGTGGCACAGCTCTGGGAATTTTCTTCCCCAGAGCCCACTCTATTGTTAGTGTCAATCCAAGCAGGCTTTAATTTAACTTTTCCAGGCTTTCCTGGGCTTTAGCCCCATGCTTTCCCATCACAGCCCCTTGCACACCTTGTTGGCTGTCCTTCTTTTTGGCCTTGTTCCAGCTGGGTTAGGGTGTAGCTTGTACCACAGGAAGCTTTTCCATGTGGATTTATGCGGCCATATCCTGCCACCCATGGATAAGCCCACCCTTTTAAGCCCGTGTAAAGGAAGAAGTGGCTTTTCCCCCACAGTAAGGATTTTTTTTCTATTTCCTGCAATAAATTTATTGCTGGGCGGCCAACTAATCAATATCCTGGCTTCCACCAGGAATTTCCAGAGCTGGTCTGGTGAAGGACACGAGGCTGAGGGGACAAGCAGGTGCTTGGCTCCCTTGCCCTTGTGATACATCCAAGGTCACGGCTGGTTTCTTTTTTCCATGGGTTTTCTGGCTGTATGGCCCTCTGGCTTAAGTGAGTCCGACATCTTCAATCTGCTCAGGATCTCAGCTTTGGAGGAGTGAGGAGATCAAGAGGATTCCCAAAAAGCAGTGAAAAGAGCTTGATTCAGGAAACTGAGCAAGAAAAGGAACTGAATCCTGGTTCTAGGTGTGGATGGGATGGGAGGATGATGTTGGTGACCTGAGAAGCAGCAGAACATCTGGGAGGGATGTACGTGGGCAGGAATATTGCTGATGGGCTGGAGGAAACTCTTCCATAAGAAGGAACCCTGGGATTCCTGTGGACTTTTACTGGAAGTTGCCCATGAGCTTCGGAAGGGGATTGTGGCTTCTGCATCCCGGTATAGCGCGCGTGGGAGGCGCGGGGCCGCGCTTGGCCGCCGGTTCCTGGCCAGAGGAAGCGCTCCGGGATGCCGCGGATGAGGGCTGTGTACACAAAGAGATTAGGCCGTGTATAAACGGAGACCGAGATTATAAATAACAGGGGGGGAAGTGCAGGAGAGGAGAGGAAGAAAAAACCCCAAAACCCCAACCCAGCTCTTGAAAAAGACAGTCCACCCAAAGTGTTTCCTAAATCCGTATTTAGCCGATCCTTTTCCCAGATGCCAAAGCCGTGGCACCTTCCGCGGCCGTCATTCGCTGCGGGCAACCACGCGTGAGAGTCTGGCCTTTCATATTTTGCGAGGGTGTCTCGTACCAGGGTGGGAAGGTGCTGTGGCCCATAACGTAATTTCAAAGCTGATCTAAGCCACCAAATTCCTGGCTGGTAAAGTAGCGTTAGGCAGAAATCTCCGCCGGCGGACACGTCTCGCTGCAGTGGAGGCATCCCAGATTTTTCCCCGCTGGCTTTAGCAGCATGCGGTTGACCTTGCTTCCGTCCTGCTTTGCTGGTTTGCAGGGATGGGTGAAGGATTATCACCCACAGACACCATATTTGTGTGCCTGGCTTTGCCCTGGGGTGATTTGCCGTAGTGCTGCAAACCGTAGAGCCAGCGTTTTCCATCCCCCTGGCGCTGGCTTGCTTCACATGGGTGGCAGCAGATACGCAGAACAGAAAAGCCCTTAGAAACAGTAATTAATAGGGAGTGGAGGGAGAAACAGCCCCTCGAAATGATGCCCCACTGAAAAAAGCGTGGCTTGGTCTTCCAGGATTTTCCTTGCAGTTCCTGAGCTGTAGGGTTAATTTTGGGGAGGAAAAGGGTAAAGATGTGAGATGTCCCTTTGGTCACATAGATCCCACAGGCCTCAGCTGGTGTGGGTGTTATATGGATATGAGGGCTTTTCTCCCAGGTGATAATCCCAAATTCTGGCAGTGAGATGCGAACCAGGCCCTGTTTGGGCTGAAAACCAAATTAATTAATTAGTGCTGAGTGTGTCTTCATGTCCTCACTCCACCAGGAGCTACATTTGAGCTCAGGTCACCTGACAAAGCCTGGTCTGTAGCCTCCCCAAAAACCTCTCACCTCAGCACAAAGAGCAGGGAAAAGGAATCAAGGAAGGCAAAGTGTTGTGTTTGATGGGCTGCAAAGCCTGTGCTGCAGAGAGGCATGAAAATAGTGATGGAGCACCTCTGGACCATGCCTGATGCCCTCTGGATGGAAGGGGAGCGCTGTTACCCGTGGTGTCTGTGTTCACACTGCCTGCTTTTCTAGGACTTTTTGTCCAAATGATGTGTGAATCTTAGAGGAAAAATACATATTCTGCACGCAGCTGGATTTCCCCCTGCTGTTAGCTTCCCTGGTCAAGTGCAGCAGCTTTATTAATTTTTCCACATCTCAGCTGGGTAAAGTGTCAGAATTTCCTGTATTCCTGTGGGAGTTAGAGGTTTTTACCCAGCAGTGGAGGAGAAGTTTCTTACTCATGGTCCTGGGGGGTCTCCCTTAGTGAGGCAGGAGTTCATCTCTCCTTTAGCCTGGGGAGGCACAGGAGAGCTGGAGAAGACACTTCACACTCTGTGTGAGCTGGCGGGAGTGATTTTGGTGTATGTTTTCCCTCTTTCCAGTGGAATTGTCTTTAAAGGGCCATTTTCTAGTTGGGGGAGTACCTTCACTGAGAGCTGCAGACAGCATCTCATGTTAGGAAAAGCAGTGGTAATAGTCCCGCTAATTGATTTAATTCGATTTGGTATTATTAAACCAAATTAAACTCAAGGGTAGGAAGCATATGGCTAATTGATCACTGAGGATGGGATTGAGCTCTTGGAAAAACCCCAAGAAAAGCTGAGTGGAACTTTTTGGGTGGCACCTGACCTTTTCTGCTGCCTCTCTACCTCCCAAAATGCTGAAATATAACCTGAGCTGCTCCTCTTTGTGAGCAGGCAGTTAGTGTGTGCAATGGTGTTTTTTGGGTTGTTTTGGTTTTTGAATTTATTTTTGTGAATGCCAGGGTGACCGCTGCAGCTTCTGTTTCATTTCTTGGGCTGCTCTGATCAGGTGGACACAAAAATCCCTGCGTTATCCCCGTTGCCGTCGGTCATCCCCAGAGTCGGCGGAGCGTTGCATCCCGCCTTCGGGAGAAGGTCTGGGCTGCTTTATTCCTTGAGCCAGATATAATTAGTCATGAGCTGTAGAGCAGCTCAAACCCAAGTGGGCTGTTGCTTGGGACCAGGCTCTTTCACGTTTTAATCCAGCCTTGCCCCGGCGTGGCGGCACGGCTTTCCTCCAGCCGCCTGACTCAGCTAGTCCCAGCTTTAGCCCTAAACCCATAAACCGGCTTTGGGGTGCCTGGTCCCGAATGAAACGCCCCGTGGCAGGGCTGGGAGGGGGTAGTGGTGTCCCAGAAGAGCTCCTCCTGGGGCAGGGGCTGCTTCTGCTCCTTCTCTTGTTGTATAATAAAGAGCAATGTTTTGGAACTGGAAATTAGGAGAATTTCTTCATGGAAAGGGTTGTCAGGCCCTGGCACAGGCTTGTGTTCCCCATTCCCTGGAGGGATTGAAAAAATTTATAAATGTAGCATTGGGGATGTGGTTTGGTGGTGGCCTTGGCAGTGCTGGGTCAATGGTTGGACTCAATGATCCTGGAGAGCTTTTCCAACCTAAAGGATTCCGTGATTCTGTGCCCTGCCCCATCATCACGGCCTCGCCCAGCCATCACTGAACCTGACTGGTGGTTTAACTCCCTGGCTTGTTCCCTGCCCCTCCACCACCCTGCCTGGTGCCCCTGGTTAAACCTGGCTGTGTTCTTCATCTCCTTGTCTGAGGGTGGGGGCACAATCCCTGTCTGCCCTGGTTTGACCTGGATGTCTCCTGTGGGAAGAACCCGAGATACGTGTGTCAGGCAAGGACTTGGATTCCTCAGGAAGGAGGTAAAACAAAACCAGCCAAAACCCCGCTTTACAGCAGTTAATGAAACCCAAGCGGAGCAGGAAATTTGTTGGAATCCGACAGAGCCAGGTTGGCCATTGCCTGATGAATCCCAAGGGACGTGAACACGAAGGGGTCCCAAAGAGCCAGGCAAGCTTGGAAGAGCCCCAGCCTCTGTCCAGAATACATCTCTGTATCTATTTTGCTTTTATTTTATTTTATTTGATGAGGGCTGTTCCAACACCCCAAGACCCTTACGAGGACTCCAGTAGGTCCACCCTGCTGAAGGCTTTGCTCCAAGAACAGATCCAAATGTTCTGCTGGTGCTTTCCAGGCAGCTCCTCAGCAGCGGGCAGCGCCGGAGGAAGGAACGCACGCGTGCGCCATGGAGGGAGCTGGCAAAAATGCCGAGCTGGGGGGGCTGCCCGTGGGAGAGAAGCCAAATCCTGGTGATCCTTTTCCTTGCCCGAGGTGTGAGCTGGCCGGCGCTGCGGGGTGTGAGCGCTCAGGCTGATGTAAGGGGGATTTGATGGGAGCTTGGTGTTAATTAGGAGCAGGTCGGTAGCCAGGACAACATTTCCAGTGATGTTTGCCCTGTCATTCATCTTCCCTGTGTTTGGGAGGTGGAGTTGTAATGCTTTCCAGCTTCTTCTCCAGCGGGATTCCCCTGTGTTAATTCCCAAGTACTTCATGGGGCAGAGAGAATGGTTTCTCTTTCTTTCTTCTGGTTGCAGCTCATTGTGTCAGTGAAATGGCAGATATCCTAAAGGCACTGCAGGAATGGAATGGGGAGGGTTCAGGGAGACTCAGGAGTGCCTTGGGAGCCCCTTCAGCCTTGTATCCCTGAGTTCAGGGTCTAGCACAAGTCATGGATGAGACAGAATAGAGTTTTGTAGCCATATAAAGACATAAATTGAGTTGCAGCCAGGTTGGATGGTGTTATTTTTTTTTTCTTTTGTTGCTTGGTTTTTCCTTACTTTTTTCTTTCCCATCTACAAGAGAAATTAAGGGTTGTCATAGATGAACATGGTATTAGAACCATCCTGGTGTCATGGAGTAGGATCAAAACAATATTATTTGGGATGCCTTTCCCCTTTGTGTGTCTCTGCATCAATCTTCAACGAGCATACTGAGTGTGTGTGCCCCCCTACACTTACATAAAACCACACTGTTTGTTTCTCCCCTTTTCCTTGTTTCTTTGTGGAGTCCAGGCTGGCCTGATTCGGACAGACAGCAACGAGTTTTTCATCGAGCCCCTGGAGAGGGGCCAGCAGGACACAGAGGAGCACGGGAGGGCCCACGTGGTCTATCGGCGCTCGGCCATCCGGCAGGATGGCGCCGAGCCGCGCCACGACCTCCATCCCGAAGGTAGGCCCTGCTGGAATCCAGTCTTTCCCAGCAATTGGTAATAAATGTTTCACCTGGGGAGAGGATTTCTCCTTCCACGAGCCCTTGTGTGTCTCACCCTGTGACTTTAGGCTCAGTTTAATTGCTAAAGTCAAGAAGAAGGAAAGCAAATGCTGGGCTGGAGGTGCTGCAGCCTAGCTTTCATCACCTGTGTTGTGATGAGAGTGTTGAGGTACTGGAAGGTGTTGTCCAGAGAAGCTGTGGCTGCCCCTGTATCCCTGGAAGTGCCCAAGGTGAGGCTGGATGGGGCTTGGAGCAGCCTGGGATAGAGGAAGTTGTCCCCTTGGCAGGGGCTGGAACAGGATGAGCTCTAAGGTCCCTTCCAACCCAAACCATTCTGTGATGATTCTACGAAATGTAGATTTGACTTTTTAACAGATCATAGAATCATTTAGTGTGGAAAAAAACCTTTAAGGTTCTCGAGTCCAATCATTAATATGTCTTTTAGTGCTGGTCTTCACAATTCAGAGCCGTTTCCCTGCCACTGGGTGAGCTGGACCAGCAACCAGCCGGAGCTCAGTATCCCGTTAGAGTTAACTCTCTTACCTGTTTTCCCTACTGAATCTCTGCTCCTGTGTCACCGTGGTGTCAGATCACCTCAAAGGCTCTTTCTTTTCCTGCCCAGTGCCCGGCCTGCAGGTGGGTGAGCTCCCGAATTCCCTGGAGCTGATGGCGGAGCAGCTGGGGGACGCGGAGCGCAAGCGGCGCCACGCCAGGAAGGATGACTACAACATCGAGGTGCTGCTGGCCGTGGATGACTCCGTGGTGCGCTTCCATGGCAAGGAGCACGTCCAGAACTATGTCCTCACCCTCATGAACATAGTAAGGCTGGGCTCTGGGGGATGTGGATCCCACCCTTCCCTGGGTTTAGTGCTCTTCTGATGCTGCAGATCTGTTTTCCTGGGAAAAGGAATGGGTTTGGGAGGGGGAGCAGTGCTGCAGGGAGGGCTGTGCCTTCACACCGCCCGCGCTGGTGTTTAACAGCTGTGGGAGCTGGAGGGATGGAAAGCAGAGCCCTTCCATGTTCATCTCCATCACCTTCCCCTTGCCAATGGCAGGGCCTGGCATGTTGGTCACCTCTCACCTGAGTCCAAAAGTTTCTCCTGGGTGAGAACGTTTCCTACTCATGGCTGAATTCTCAGCAAATGCTAGAAAAGAGAATGGTTGTGGCTTACTTAGTTAGAAATTACAATATCTGTAATTTGTTTTGCAGCGCTGATGTTCATGATTCATTCTGAATACTATTTGTTGGTAGAGGAAATATTTTTATAGGTTTTCAGGAGCTTTTTGGAAACCTGTGCACCTGGATAACCATTCAGGATATGTTTGAAGAGGAGTTTAGAGCAGCTTTACAGTTCCTGCACCCTTCCTCACTCCGAGGCATGGGGCAGCCTGTGCTGGTTCCTTGCACCCCTTTTCATTCCTTTCTAAGATAAAAACATCCATATTCCCCGAGTCCTGAGAGACGTGGAAGGATCAATATTTATTCATCCAGGCATCTTGAGGGAGGTTTGCTCCTCCAGCACCTGAATGTCTGCACATAAGGTCTATGCTGAAGGATCTCTTTCTCTCTCCCAGTTTTGTTTTGTTTTGTTTTCCATGCTTTATTCTCGCCTCTATTTATTTACTTTCCATTAAGTGTTCTTTGACATAGTGGTGGAAAATGTTCAAAAGGCTCAACCAGCTCTGGAATGGCCAAGTTATAAAGATGCTTTTGGGTGCTTGGTTGTTGGGTTTGGACATTATTTCTGCCACATGGCTGGCAACGAAGGGGAAATTATCGACATGGATGGGGGGGAGGATTTGTGGGATTAGAGGGTGATGAGGTGAAGGATAGGGAAAATGTTGAAGAAGCAAACGCCTTCATCACAATGTTTTATTCTCTGGCACGTTATCCCGATGCTCTCAGCATCACTAAAATTCACTTTCCGAGCATTTCTCCCCTTGGCTATGAAATCCTCCTGCCCGGGGGAAGCCACAGGGCTCCCGGCTCAGCCCTCCGGCTCTTCCCACGTTACGGGGGTCGGAGATGATGTCATTTTTCCTTTCCGATCCCGGGTGGGGGGGGAAGGGGGGATCGGGATGGCCAGTTTGAGCGCCCGGGGATTGTCAGCTCTAATCAAAAGGTCGGTTTTCAGGCGCATTTCATGGTTCCTACCCCGCGGGCAGGACTTTTCAGGGAGTGAATGCAGGGGATGCTGCGCTGGGAGAAGGGAGGACCCGCTGCCTATTGAATTAAAGGCGGCGCTGGAGACTTTAATGAGCGGGGGGAAAGCCCCAGGATAATACAGGCAACAAATACTTCCCCCCAAGTATTATTTCCTTCTATATATTCTCCCCCCCACCCCACCCCCTTCCCCTTCTTTCTTTCTGGCTTTTAGTGCGTTTTCTTTCCAGCTTTGCCGTGACCTCCGTCCGCCTCCTCTTCCCTTGGCGCCTCCTCGTTTCCTTACCGGCTCAGATTGCCTTAAAACACCCGATTCAGCAGAAAAAAGAGAGTCCTGCTTTCTGGCCTGGGTGGCAGAGGGAGGGAGGGAGAGAGGAGGGTGCCGGGGGGCTGGCGGGGAGGAGCCTGCTGGGACCACACAGCTGAACATTAATCCCATTAGTTGGAGGCAAAGGGAAGAAGGATAAGAGGCTTGGCCAGCCCTCTGACGAGGAAAGGACTTAACGAGCTGGGCTGGAGTACATCAGGGAGCCAGCTGGGAAAGTTTTCTGTCTAAGAGCTCTCCTATCAAGATATATCCCAAGGAAAGGGGGCAACAAGGTTGGAAGCAGTGATAAACTCTCCCGGCTTTTCCTGAGGTCTCCACGGAGTGCCGAGGGAGCAGTGGGACACGCATCCCTTCCCAGCGCTGCTGTAGGTAGGGTCCCGGGGCTCTTCCCAAGACACAAAACCCTTTATTAGGAACTCTGTGTCGGCTGGAGCTTGGTGATAAATGATTTGTCACGGAGGAGGTTGTTTTTTGAAAAGAAACAAACCCCGCAGCCCTTCTTTCAGTGCCAGAAATGTGGATGCTTTTCAGTGAAGGGTGCTGTGTCCATCCCGGGGAGCTGACATGAGGATGACTGCTCCTTTTGTGCACCTAAGAGCTTCCCTGCAGGCAGGCTGCCTTCCCTGCTAGCTCCCAGCCTGCATTCCCAGCCTGCCCTTTCCTTTTTGGCTCAGATGCTGCCCAGGAATTTGGGGTTGGGTTGGAGTGAGTGGGAAAGGCACAACTCGCCCTCTGCCATCCGCTGCTGAGCGTGTCTCTGCTCCAAGCTGGATGTTGCTGTGTCCACCTCACCAAAACATCTTGGGATGAAAGTTTGGTGATGTGGTGGCTCTGGAAAGCCATTCCTCTCGCTTGCTTGCTGCCTGTGGCAGAGGTTGTGGTGTTGCAGAAGGAAAATTGGGATCCCCCAGCCATGGTGGCTGCTGAGATCAAGGGCTGGGAACCAGGGGGGGATCCAGCACCTTGGAAAAGGAAGAGGAGAGGAAATATTCAGTGCTTGGCTCTGCTTTCCAGTCTCTTGCCTTCAGGGAGGTGGGCTTCTTGGCTTTCTCTGCCAGACTTCCCACTGCTCATCCCTGATCCCTTCAGGTCTGGGGGTGGCTCCAGTTGGAGGGGAGAAGCCAAGCTGTGGCTGTGTCAAACCTGGCCCTGGCCTCAACTGGCTTTTGTCTGATATTGCCCATGATTTGGTTAAAGATGCAAAGGTTCTTGGTGTTTTCCCATTGTTTTGGGTTACTAGGGAAACCCCATGAGTCAGAGCCCTCTCCAGGCTGGGACTTGCCTGGCTCCAGCTGAAATTATTGTTCCCAAGGGCAGAACAACAAAGAGTGCTACTGAGACCCCACAGAAGAGAAGGTTTGGGAATAAAAGTTAAACCTTCAGCTTTAATTTTAACCTGTGTATGTTCTTTTCTTAGGTGAGGCATTTATGAGCCACTTCCTTGCTAGCTGATAATGACAAAAATACCTCTGATGTCTCTCATGTGTCCATGCACTTTTCCCCTACCCTCTGTATAGGCTTACATGTTTGTTGCTATTTTTTTTGGGACAACATGCTTTGTTCTGTAGAGAGCTCTGATCAAATCTGGTCTTGCCCTGCAGAAAAATTCTCCCCTTACTCTGTTCCTCCCCACAGATAACGTGGGTCAGCCCTCGCAGAGGTGACATTATGCAAGCCCAAAAATGTGGCAAGGGGGACTTTCCCCTCCCTTCCTAACCCCCCAGCCCCAGCAAAGAGGCTCAGGGTGAATCCAGCAGCATAAAAACCGAGCGAGGAAATAAAAGAAAGGAGTTTAAAGATGACTTGGCTGTTCCGAGTAAGCGATCCCGGCATTTTGAAATGTCAGCTATTCTGCTGCTTTGGCAAATTCTTCTCGTGTCTCTCCCTTTGTTTTCCTTCCCTGAAGAACAGCGAGGTCTAGACCTCGTTGCCAGTGCGGTTTTGCTGTCGGGATCTCGCGTCTGGGGCTGCAGACTCGGGGCTGGCCAGGGGTTTGCAGGGATTTAGGGAGGCAGCCAGCCCTGCTCTCAGGCTGTAATGTTCCTTTCACTGTAAAGCAATGCCAGTGCCTCCTTGGTGTTGCAGGGTTTGGGGGGAGTCCTGTGGGGTGGTTGTTCCTGCTGCTTTGCCCTTAGCTCATAGCGAGCCTTAAGGGCTGGGCTGTTTGTAGGTGGGAAAATTCCATTTTAAATGAAAGAGGAGAGCATTTCTTGCCAGGTGGCGGTGTAAAAAAAGCTGAGCGTGGATGAGAGGGGTAAGAAGATCTTTATCCCATGGCTTCAGGGATGTGGGTTATAAAAACTGGTATTTTTTTATTGGAGCCCTTTGCTGAACAGCTGTTTTTGGGGGAAGGGGTTTCTCTGAAGACACTGACTTGCTTAATGGCATCTGCAGAGGGCAGGGAGAGTTGTGCCAAGTCTGGAAACTGCTCTCCAGGTGAATTTCCATTTCCAAGGTGATGCTTGCCCCTCCAGCTCCATTCCCACTTCTTGCACAGGCACTGGAGCACTTGGGGGAAGCTGGCCCTGCTGGTGTTCCCCCCCTGCCCCAAAATTTGGGGCCTGCAGGGTCTCAGCCCTTGCAGCAGCCAGCACCAAGCCCTTTTGATATGATTCTTTCCCCCCCCCAAATCAATTATTTATATCTGGCTGTGAAGGGAAGTCTGTAGCCTTGGGCAGTCTGGTTCCACATCTGCTTTCTGAATTAACCCCAAAGGTCACTGCTGAGCTGGTATCTGTTGGGTGAGATCCCTGCCTAAACCCTGGACTAAACAGGGGCTGGGCTTTAGGTCACCTCTTCATTTCAGAGGCTGAAATGGAGTCCCAGGGAGGGCTGAAATGGAGCACCAGGTCCCTGTGAGCTGGAGGAGAGTGGGATTTAGCACTGCTTTATAAGGAAGATTTATGGAATTAAATCCCATCTTGGAATAATACAGCAGGATCTAGTGAGCATCCTGCCAAAATATCCTGTGCAGCTGGGAAGGGAGAGGTCTGTGCTGCTGCACGTGATGCTCCCAGTCACAGCAAGGTCAGGTCGTGGCTGGTGGAGAGGTCCCTAAGGCAGGAACGTGGCCCATCCTGATGGATTGGGGGTGCCTCAGGAGCAGGCAGCAAGCAGCAGAGTGCTGGTAGATGACCATAGAATCCTAAAATCATGGAATAGTTTGGAAGGGAGATGAAAGCTCATTCCATTCCTACCCCCTGCCATGAGCAGGGGCACCTTCCACCATCCCAGGCTGGTCCAAGCCCAATCAAACCTCACCTTGAACACTTCCAGGGATGAGGCAGCCACAGCTTCTCTGGGCAGCCTCTGCCAGGGTCTCATTTCCCTCAGTTCCTTCCCAATATCCCATCTGCCCCTGCCCTCTCTCACTTTGGAGCTCCAGCTCCTGGCAGCTGCTGGGGGTGAAGGAAAATGCGTGAAGATTTGGGAAAGCGAAGGAAATGGTTGTGTTTCCTGTCCTGTTCCCCACACCAAGCCCCAGCTCCAGCTCTGCCTCTCTTCAAGCATGGCTTTAATTTCTCCCTCTCTCCCTGCTTTCCCACTATTACCAATATTTTTGTAAGGGATCAAACTTAGGCTGTGGGATGCAAAAGCCTCCTACATGCTAAAGCCCAGCCTGACATCCCTGGGGAGCTGCAGCTCCTTGCTGGGCTGGATCCCCCATACCTCAGTGGGTCTGGAGGCCTGAGTAATGTTTGCAGCTGCGTGACCTTCCACCCTTCTGTGCACATCCCCAAAAAAATAGGGTTGGGATCAGAAAAAATCCATCATATTCTCATTATTCTTACAAAAGGGGGAGGGTGAAGGAGCATTCCACCCACGGAAAGTAGGGATGAGCTGAGGGTGGGTTGACCAGAGTTATCTTTCCACACTGATGGATAAAATACCCCACGACTCTTGCAGCTTCTGCATCCAAAGGGATGCATTAATGGGGATGGACTGGCAGTTTATTGATTAATTTTAATTTTTTGTAATCGATTTTGCTGCGTTCAAGGCTCGGGATCTGCATTATCTCTCGGCATGGCTCGGAGGCACCCCATGGGAGTATTGGTTGTCATGGGGGAAAGGTTAACACTGGGTTTTTGGGTTTAAAAATGGCCTGAGTGGGTATTTCAAATGGAATCCCAGGCTGGAAAATGGGGGGCTTTTAAAACACTGGGGAGTGGCTGAAATGGACTTGTGCAGCAGTGAAAGGGTAGTTGTCACCTAACCCTTGATGTAAAATTGAAAAAACCCCAAAGGAATGGAGGAAAAAATAGAAAAGATCCATAAATCTGACTTTATAACCTTCATGTAGTCTGGAAGGCTCTGATAGAGCTGAGGGAAATTAGTCCCCCCTTGGGCAAACCTGAGAAAGTATATTTTAATTAAAACATGAATTCTAGTCAATACTAAAAATTGTCTTAATTTGTTCTCTTTGACTTCTGCAGTGAACCCCCACTTGTGGAACTGTTCATTTGAGAGGCTTTTTGGGAAAAAGAAAGCCCCATTCTCAAAAAATCAGGATGTTTTTCTTCCCTGGGCTATGTTTTCCCACGTGCTTTGCAGGAGGTGCAGGGTCTGACGTGGGTTTGTGGTTGCTCACTCCGTGCCTCTCTCCATGTCACTGGGCTCAGCTCTCAGGGACATTTCCCATCTGGGTGTCCTACTCCCTTGGTAGCATTTGGGAGTAGAACTTGTTTATTCATCCTGGAAACGCAGAAGGAAGAGTTTGTAGCTGGTTATTTCCTTTGCAAGGTCATTTTGAATAGCTGAGGATGGTACAAATCTCATTGACTCCTGAGCCCTCCCTGTTCTCTTCATTGTGTTGCCTTCTCCTGGGATTTCTGGAGCCATAGGTCAGGTTTGACTCAGCTGAGGAAAGCCCTGGCTTTGGGGAGAGGCAAAGGATTGTATCAAAAAGCCATTTTTTCCTTTGGGTGATGGAGTCTGGAGCATTTCCATCCCTCTGAGAGATTCATATTCCAAAGAGGCAATGCCTCATTGAGAAATGAGGTGGACAAAACACAGCCCTTGATGGAAATGGGTGATGTCATTGACCATCTGAGCCATTCCTGGGGAAATTCTGGCTTATTCCAGCTTGGCTTTTTGGCTTTGTGCTTGTTACACGTGGGAAAATGGGAAAAAAAGCCCTCCCCACAGTGGCAGGAGGGGAATGACATCTTTGCACCTGGTCTTGGGAAGCCTGGAAGGGTGTGGAACGTGGGAGCGTGGAGGACAGGAGGGGCTTGAGAGCTGGGATGGCCTTAACTTCTTCCCTGTTGGATTTCCCTCCCTTCCTCAGGTGGATGAAATTTATCACGACGAGTCGCTGGGCGTGCACATCAACATCGTGCTGGTCAGGATGATCATGGTGGGATACCGCCAGGTAAATCCAGCAGGAGATGCCCTCATGTTTATGTAGCCCTTGGGTAAGCCCGGCCTTGGGAAAACGTGGCAGCTGTCGGAGCCCAAATGACAGCTGTGCTGAGCAGGGGTGAACCTGAACCTTCCTAAGCCTGGATTTTGGGGCTGAGGGCCCGGATAGCCCCTGGCCTGTGAGGCCCTCAGGGAGGTGGTGGGTGATCTGCTGTTGCGTGCTTGCTCTGGGATGTGGGGAAAACCATGGAGGATTCCTCAGAGCTCTGTGGATGATGGGGTAGAGGTGGCTTCCCACACTGAGAGGAGCTGCACGTCAGGGAGGAGGAGCTGAGCTCGGGATCTCCTTGACTGTCTCTCTGGCTGTCCTGTAGCTCTCTGGGCATGGCCAGGAAAAGCATGGGAAGGTTTCCTGAGGAGTTTTCTCAGGCTGCACTTATTTTTTAAGGCTTGTTTGAGCACAGCAGCCAGATTTTTCTTTAAAACAATGATTTTCTGTACGTTTTTTGGGGCAAGCCCCTTGTCCCACAGGAATTGTTCTAGCAAGGGTGTTAATGACTCAACACAGTGATGTCTCCATGTGTGATCTCCAAATAAGGCTGGTTGGAAAAAAACTTCCTTATTATAGAAACATGCTTGGCTGAAAACCCAACACATCCTGGAGATCCAGGGATGGTTCTGAGGAGCAGGGATAAGGATGGAGGCTGGCTCGTTTTTGGAGGCTTCCATGGGACCAGAAACATTATTTCTAGTTGAGAAAGCCAACAATCCAACTAGCTTTGTCCCAGTCATGTTTGTGCGCTGGGCTGGAGGTTGATCTGGGCCAGAGCCTCCTCTGAAATGGAAAAATGTAAATCCCCCCAGTCCAAATTGTTATAAATTTGAAATTAAGGGGTTCTGAGGCAAAGATATGGGAGCAGGAAATAACAGTTCTTTACTAGGGAAGAAAATAAAAAGATAAAATAAACAATGCAGTAAACTAAAACAACACTGACAGAGTCAGAACACAACCTGACACCCTGTTGGTCAGGGTGTTGGTAGCAATCCAATTGGAATTGTGGCTGCGCTCCTCCTGGAGTGTCAGGTGTGGTTCTGCTGGAGCAGGGATCCTGTAGAAGGATGTAGCCTTCCTCTGAAGATCCAGTGGAAGAGGCAGCTGATCCTCTGGGAAGATCCAGTGGAGAAGCTGTGCTGGTGTTCCAGAAACTCCAGATTATATCCAGGCAGGAATGCTTGGCTCCTCCCTCTGGGCTCACATCTCCCAGTGGGATGCTGTAGTTCTTATCAGCCGTGCAGTGACATTCCATAGCCTGTTACCAGCTGGTGTCCCCCTGGAGGGAAGAGTGGGTGTGGAAGAGATCAGGAAAACTGCCCCGTTAACAGAAGACAGCTGCCATACAGATGGCAAAGAGAATACAATTTGCTTGGCAACCCAGGACAAGCTTATCATCTCCCGCTTGGGATAACGTCTCCTTGGCTTCCAGGGGAAGGGCAGCCCCTGCTCCTGCTGTCCCCAGCAGCGGATTTTCCCTTCTTCCCGCAGTCAGTGAGCCTGATCGAGCGGGGCAACCCGTCGCGGAGCCTGGAGCAGGTGTGCCGCTGGGCGCACTCGCAGCAGCGCTCCGACCCGCAGCACGCAGAGCACCACGACCACGCCGTCTTCCTCACCAGGCAAGATTTTGGGCCCGCAGGTATGCAAGGTACTGTATTTGTCTCGATCAGGTATGTGCAGTTTGCCGGGGGGAAAGGCCAGCGAGGGGTGAGAGGATTTTCTTGCAAGCACAGTCTGCTTCCTGGCCAGCGAGGTCCAGAAAAAGGTTATGAAAATTGGTATTTTTTTATTTCTTCGCACGATGGGAAAGAGAGGGACAGAGGATTAATCCAGAGCATCGACTTGAATGGATAAAATATCTTTATTTATTTATTCTCTTGCTCTTTGATTTCATTTACCTGTCCTCCTCTTGGACCAAAATGCCTTAAAAATACAAATATAAGATAAAAAAAGATGAAATACCACAGGAAGCCCCATGGAGTCAATCAATCACCTCCTCTGGAGGACCTTTAAAACTTGTTTTTACATGGATTTATTTCTTGGACATTGGAGCACTCAATAAACCCTGGGTCAAAGAGGAAGTTCTACTGCAGGAATCTCTCACCCTCTTGGTGCAGAGATTGTGCTGGTGCGGTCTGAGAAGAGGCTTTGCTAATAAAAATTTTTAGGAAAATCTTCTGATGTTTCATGGCTCCACTAGGAAAACAGGTGCTTTGGTGTTACCAGGAGAGGTGGCTTTTCCCAGTTCTGAGCCTGCTGCTTCCAAATTCCCATCTCCTCTTTTCCACGCTGGTGGCCAGGTCTGGATTTCCGTCAGGAGGCTCCATCTGATGCCGTGGATGGGGTGGGTATTGTCACCCTGATCTGTAGCACAGGTCCTCCTGGTGTGCACAGCAGGAAGGAAAGGTGGAGAAGGAAACCTCTCCTAACTCCCTGAAAAGGATCCCCCTCATCAGGAGATGAACCTCAGGAGAAATCCAGCTGGAAACCCTCCTGAGTGTGCCAGCGGTCCTGTGGCCACCAAATAGCAGACCTTAGGTTGTGACCTGCCCTGGTCCCTTTGTCCAGTCACACACAGGGTGAAATACCAGTTTTGTTTCGTTTTTCTAGACCTTTCCTGGCAAAGTGACTGTGTCCAAAGGCATTGGAGAGAGGACCTTTTTTGGCAGAAGGGGGAGACTCCCTAGGCTGCCCCTTGGTGGGAGGAGTTGAGATTGATGGAGTAGCCCTGCTCTAGGGCTGCTCCTTCCAGCAGCTCCTTCCCCTTTTCCCTGCGGATCTGGCTCTCTGCTTGTCACACATCTCCAGGACTTTCTGCAGAATCCCCATGTCCTTGCCTGGCTGTGCTGCATGGCACAAGGAGCTCCTCATCCGCTGGGAATTTCCTTCTGATTGGGCTGCTGGAATAGTAACACTGTGCTTGCTCTTGCCTCTTTTCCCCAAAACGAAGTCCTTGTGGACCCCCAACACCCTTTTAAGCTCGGGGATGTGCGGAATGAAGGACCAGAGTGTGGCACCAAATTATCCCAAATATGTCCTTTGACGAGAAAAGCAGTGGACAGATGGGTTGTAAATTATTAATTGCTGCTGTAGAGGTCGTGTCCCTCTGCAGTGGGTGGCACAGAGGGGTTTTCTGGCTGGGCTGAAGGATGCTTGTGCTCAGAATTAAATATTTTCCAGGTAGTTGCTTCTCATCGTCATTCTCCTGTGGAGAACCTTTTATACTCCTTCCAGTTCTTACTGGAGTCTTCCTTACAAAAACCTGCCTTTGTGAGCATCCACCTTTTCATACTCCTTTGTCCCATCTCCCATCCACAGTTTCTTTGGTTGGGAATTTATCCAATTTTCATCCTAGACAAAATAAATTTGCCTTCCCCTTGTAGAGAAAGCTTCCCACAACTTTATTCTTTCTTGTGGAAAGTTTCATGGGGGTAAAAAAAATCTTTTCAAATTATTTATCCAGGGCTTGATTTATTACTCTGTGGTTAAACCCCTTTGTGGGAGTGACTTGGTGTGGATCAAGTATCCCACAAGGATGGGGGGCTCTGTGGACCCTGTGGTTTGGCCAGGGTGGGTGTAGGGATGTGCACCTCCCTCAGCTCATCAGCACCCCTCTCCTGCTGCTGCCCACTCCTGGCTGACTGAGCTCTCCTCTTCCAGCATCCCAGTCCCCAGGGCATGGTTATCCAGCATGATCCTGCCCTCCTTTTGCCTCTCTGACCTGTAAGTCCTTCCTTCACTAACTCCCTTGATGCCAAAAAGGGTCAGCCTTAAAAAAAAACAACACACGTAAAAAAAAACTTTGGGGGGTAAATTCCGGAGCGTGCCAACAAGCTAATTGAATTGGGCAGAAATAAGGTGGAAAAGAAAGGAAAAGTGACCAGAATGGAGGTGATGTGTTGCTGCCTGGGCGGGGGAAGATTCCTCTGCCCACAGCTGCCCCACTGCACTGCACTTGATCGAGGGCTGGGGTCCTGGGGCCGGGCGGGTGCATGTGCGGGTGTGCCCCGTGGGGAGCAGGGCTGTGGTTTTCTCAGGGCTCTGGGGAGAGCCTCATGCCTTTTCTTCTCTGCTTTTTCCTTCTTTATTTGTTTTTAATGAAGGAGAATGCGGGGCATGCCGTTCCTGGGCTGGGAGGCGATGGCCACCCAGTTGTGGGTGCTGTTTCTGCCCTCCTGCCTGCCCAGGTGTGTTGGCACAAGGGCACAGTGGTGCCAGCAAGCCCCACAGCAACCTCTGCTGGCTTTTGGCACGCACTGGTGAGCCAGTCCATCCAAGTGACCTGGGCAGCCCCTCCTCTTCAGCACCTTCCCCTCTGTTTTCTCTTCTGTTGCAGTGAAGCCAGCTTATGTGTTTGTGGGGTTTTTTTTTTCTAAATTCTTCATTTTTTCCCCTCCTCTCTCAAAGGTTTTCTCTCTCCTCTCCTCCTCTGTCCTTCCCTCCTGTCTTTGCCCCAGGCTACGCTCCGGTGACGGGGATGTGCCACCCTCTCCGCAGCTGCACCCTCAACCACGAGGACGGCTTCTCCTCGGCCTTCGTCGTGGCCCACGAGACCGGACACGTGTAAGTCGTGGGGGCAGAGCTGCCTGTGGTGGTGCCTCTCCCTTTGCAAAGGTGCTGCTGCAGCTGCGAATCCCTTGGGATCTTCCCACCAGGTTGGGCATGGAGCACGACGGCCAGGGCAACCGCTGCGCCGATGAGACCAGCATGGGGAGCATCATGGCGCCGCTGGTCCAGGCCGCCTTCCACCGCTACCACTGGTCCCGCTGCAGCAAACAGGAGCTCAACCGCTACATCCAGTACGCCCCTTCCAGCTGGGAGGGCGTGTTCTCCCTTCAGACCCCCACTGGTGGCTTTTGGTACCCAAAGGTGCTCCCAGGGCTGGAGGGCCTCTGGAGACAGGCTGGAAGAGCTGGGGGTGTTCGGCCTGGAGAACAGGAGGCTCCAGGGAGACCTTGGAGCCTCTTTCAGTGCCTAGTAGGGTTCCAAGAGAGCTGGAGAGGGACTTTGGACAAGGGGGAAAGGCTTCCCCCGACAGAGAGTAGGGTTAGATGGGATATTAGGAAAAAGTTATTTCCTGGGAGGGAGGTGAGGCCCTGGCACAGGGTGCCCAGAGCAGCTGTGGCTGCCCCTGGATCCCTGGAAGTGTCCAAAGCCAAGTTGGACACTGGGGCTTGGAGCAGCCTGGGACGGTGGAAGGTGTCCCTGCCCATCAGAGGGGGGTGGAACTCTATGGCCTTGATGGACCATTCCGACCTAAGCCATCCTGGGATTCCATGATAATTCAAATTTCTCAGTAGCTGAATTTGGCGAGTGGCCTGGAGCAGAGGGATGGGGTGATGGAAGGAAATCCTCTGTCTGACTCTGCAGCTCCTACGACTGCCTCCTGGATGACCCCTTTGAGCACCAGTGGCCCACGTTACCTGAGCTGCCGGGAATTAATTATTCCATGGACGAGCAGTGCCGCTTCGACTTCGGCGTGGGCTACAAGACGTGCACGGCGGTGAGTAGGGGCTGTGTGGCCATGCTGTCCCCCCCTCCCCGGGGTCCCCAGCCAGCCTGGCTGCCACCAGCCTGCTGGTACTCGCTGCTGCTGTCCCAGCCCAGCTCCTCTGTGCTCCCCAGTTCCGCACCTTCGACCCCTGCAAGCAGCTGTGGTGCAGCCACCCGGACAACCCCTACTTCTGCAAGACCAAGAAGGGGCCGCCCTTGGATGGCACCGAGTGCTCTCCTGGCAAGGTAGGGGCTGGTCCTGCTTCCTGTGGGAGGGATGTGTCCGAGGGCACGATGAAAAGCACCTTCCTCCCGTGCTGTAGTGTTTCTGTAGTGCTGTGGGTGCAGGAGGGCTCTCCACTGGTGCTGAGCGCTTTGGAACTCATTCCTTCTCCTCCCTTCCAGTGGTGCTTCAAGGGCCACTGCATCTGGAAGACGTCGGAGCAGCCTTACAGTCAGGATGGCAGCTGGAGCTCCTGGTCCAAGTTCGGCTCGTGCTCCAGGACCTGCGGGGGAGGCGTGCGATCCCGCAGCCGGAGCTGCGACAACCCGCCGTACGTCTGGCTTCTGCCTCCCTCCCTTTTCCCAGCAGGAAGTAGCCACGAGCCAGAGGTTCCTGGCTCTTCCCCTTGTTGGCAGGGATGGGGACATCTGTTCCTGCAGGAGCTGTGCTGTAGTATTTGTGAGGCTTCTCAGCTTCCCAGGAGAAAAATCCTGGGCGTAGGGATTTTTCCAGAAAGCATGGATGCCGCACTGTGCCGTGTGTTCGGGCACTGAGCTGTGCTGGGATTGAACACCATCCCCTCTCCAGCGCTCTCACAAGCCGCTGCGTTTGTTTTCCAGCCCAGCATACGGAGGGCGGCAGTGCCCGGGAGCCACCTACGAGTACCAGGTGTGCAACGCCGAGGAGTGCCCGGGGCCCTACCAGGATTTCCGTGCCCAGCAGTGCTCCAAGCGCAACTCCTACTACACCCACCAGAACAGCAAACATTCCTGGCTTCCCTACGAGCATCATGACGGTGAGTGGTGGCGGGTCCTGGCAAAGGAGCAGCAGCCAGGTTCCTCCAGGGGACTCTGCCCTGGTGGCCATCACCCTGGGATGGAGACTGTGCCAGCTGCACAGATGTTGGGCGGTGGGAAGCTCCTGAGCTGGAAACTGTTGTGCAATGAGCCGACATCAAACAGCCAGCTTTTTAAAATCACAGACTCACAGAGTAGTTTGGGTTGGAAGGGACCTTAAAGATGATCTCATTCCAACCCTGCAGCCCTGGGCAGGGACACCTTCCACTAGACCAGGTTATTCACAGTTGGGAGAACACTTCCAGGGATCCAGGGCCAGCCACAGCTTCTCTGGGCACCCTGTGCCAGGGCCTCCCCACCCTCACAATACACAATTTCTTCCCAATACCCCATCTAAGCCTGCCTTCTGACAGTTTGAAGCCATTCCCCCTTGTCCTGTCACGCCTTTCTCCTTGCCCAAAGGCTCTCTCCAGCTTTCTTGGAGCCCCTTCAGGCACTGGAAGGGGCTCTAAGTTCTCCCTGGAGCCTTCTGTTCTCCAGGCTGAACACTCCCAGCCTGTTTCCAGAGCAGAGCTGCCTACTTGCATTGCAGCCTCATGTAGCGTGTCGTGTCCTTCCCTTGATTTCCTGAGTGCACTAGGCAAAAGTGCAGGCTCCTGATCTGCAACTGGCCTTGGGAGATCAGCCACGTGAATATCCTGGGCTTTGGAATTATGGCTGTGCTCAGGGGTACAGCTGAGATGAGTTTCTGTCTTCACTCACCCTAATGAATTTCCACAACCCCTTTTTCCCCCCACCTCTCTTTTTCTCCCCCTTCCCTTTTCCTTTGCACACAGATGCTCAGAAGTGTGAGCTGATCTGCCAGTCTGAGGGCACGGGAGACGTGGTGTTCATGAACCAGGTTGTTCACGACGGGACCCGCTGCAGCTACCGAGACCCCTACAGCGTCTGTGTCCGGGGCGAGTGCCTGGTGAGGAGCTCTTGTGGGGCCCTCCCTGTCCTTTCCCTGGCCAGGAGAAAGCTCAGCCCCTTGGGGGCACGGGGTTCTGTCCCTGGGGACCAAGCCTGTGTGCAGCAAAGGGGATGGCAGAGTGTTGGGCTGGGCTGCAGGGCTGTAACCCCGGGTGGGCTGCAGGGCTGTAACCCCAGGCTGGGCTGCAGGGCTGTAACCCCGGGCTGGGCTGCAGGGCTGTAATCCCAGGCTGGGCCTCAGGCATGTAACCCCAGGCTTGTCCTCTCCTTCCCTGGGTGCCAGCACGTCGGCTGTGACAAGGAGGTTGGCTCCCTGAAGCAGGATGACAAGTGTGGGGTCTGCGGGGGGGACAATTCCCACTGCCGGACGGTGAAGGGGACGTTGGCCAAGACCCCCAAGCAGCCAGGTGAGAGGGCTGGGTGGGTTTGGAAGCAGATTCACGAGCTGGATTCATGTGTCAAGTTGGAGGAAACCTGCTCTTTCTCTTCCCTCCATCCTTCTTCCCTCCCTTTCAGGTGTTTTGAAGATGTTTGAGATCCCAGCTGGAGCAAGGCACCTTCAGATAGAAGAGATGGAGCCAGCATCCCACAGCATCGGTGAGCATGCTCTAGTGCACCTCTCCCTTCGCCCTTTCTCAACCCTTTTCTCATAATTCCCATCAAAGGGGGTCTTGTTTAGGTCATTCCCATCCTCCAAAGTGAGTGACCAGAGGGAATGGTATTGAAAATATCTCCTTTCTCCTCCAGCTGTTAAGAATCAAGCCACGGGGAACTTCATCCTGAATGCCAAGGGCCAAGAAGCCAAAAGCCAAGTGTTCATTGAGATGGGCTTGGAGTGGGAATACACTGTGGAGCAAGGCAAGGAGAGCCTGAAAACCAGCGGTCCCCTGCACGAGGCCATCAGTGTTTTGGTAAGCCTGGCTGGCACGTGCTCTGGGGGGGCTTGGGGACGACTGTCACAGACAGGGGAGGTGGTCTGAGGTGTGATGTGGCAGGTGATGGAAGGATGTGGGTAGAGGAAGAGGGCATGTCACTAAATCCAGGGAATGAGCCAGCCAAAAGCAAGGGGTGACCAGCTGCATGAGAGAATGGCATATGCTGCTCAGGCACTTGCCTTTGAGTTCAGCTGCGTTCTGCTCTGCAGCAATTGCTTATGACTCCAACTCCCATTTTAGTTATGCTGGAATGTGGGGAATTAGAGATTGGGTTCCCTGGGCATGCTGGGAATGGCAGGTCTGTGCTCCCATCCATCCCTGTGTCCCAGTTTGAGTCATAGGCCACCTTGCCGTGTGGTCCCTTTCCCATGGCATCATTCTTCCCCCTCTCTGCTCCCTCTCTGCCTGCAGGTCATCCCTCAGGAGGAGGAGGTGAGGAGCAGCCTCATGTACAGGTACATCATCCACGAAGACCTGCTGCCCATGATTGGAAATAACAATGTCCTGCTGGAGGAGATGGATTCCTACGAGTGGGCCCTCAAGAGCTGGTCCCAGTGCTCCAAGGCGTGTGGAGGAGGTAACTTCCTCTTCATAACAGCCTACAGGGCATGCTTGGGGGTGCTTGGATATGGTAGAGGGTGTGTGAGCCCCTTGGGGCATCTCTGACACGGAGAAGTTGTTGCAAAGCAGTTCAAGTGAGCATTTTAGCGGGATTTCTTACAGAAACAGGCCTGCATGATTGTGTGTGTGTACCTTCTTTTGTCTATCCATGGACCTGCTAGGATTTTTGAATTCCTTGGCTATTTTTTTACTGGATTTGAGCCAAGAAACAGTAATTTTGAAGATGACCACTACTAAAGTTTGCACAGAAGTAAGGTTGAGGTTTGCTGGTGAAAGCCCCGTTTCCATATGGCCACTGGGATGTGGCCTTCAGGTGGTGGGGAGCACCTCGTGCTCTGGGAATCAGAGCGGCTTGGGTTGGAAGGAACCTTTAAAGGTCCAAAACCTGGTCCAAACCCCTGCCATGGGCTGGGACATTTTCCACAAGCTGTGTGCACTCCACAGCAGCCTGGGGGACCTGGGGGGTGGGTCCAGCAGCCGCACGAGCATCCTCAGCCAACCTTGGCTCCCACCCGAGTGGTGACATCTCAGAGCACATATCCCAGCAGGGATGCAGCAGAAGGACCTGGGGGAACCTGGAGGGACCCCCTACACCCATCCATGTCCGTGCTCTGCCCCCTCAGGCATCCAGTACACCAAGTACGGCTGCCGTCGGAAAAGCGACAACCGGATGGTGCATAGGAACTTCTGTGACAATGGCAAGAAGCCGAAGCCAATCCGGAGGCGCTGTAACCTCCAGGAGTGCTCCCAGCCCATGTAAGTCCTCTCTGTGTGGCCCGAGGCGCTCCCACTCCTCGTGGGGGCGGTTCGGGGTCGCGTTGGGAGCGTCTCCAGCCGCTTCCCAGGATAAGCGTCGCCTCAAATGCCTTCTCCTTGTCCGTCTTCCCACGCTGGCAGGTGGGTGGCTGAGGAGTGGGGTGCCTGCAGCCGCTCCTGCGGGAAGCTGGGGGTGCAGGCGCGGGCGGTGCAGTGCGTGCAGCGCCTGCAGGACGGCACCAACCGCACCCTGCACAGCAAGTACTGCCCCGGGCAGCGCCCCGAGACGCGCCGGCCCTGCGGCCGCCTGCCCTGCCCCGCACAGTGGAGGACGGGAGCCTGGTCCGAGGTGAGGAAACCCCTGGAAAAGAGGGTACGGGAGGTGGGTGTGGAGGGCAGGTGCTTGTAGGGGTCAGGGAGTAGAATCCTAGACTGGTTTGGTTCAAAGGGAGCTGTAAAGGTCATCTACAGTCCAACAGGGACACTTTCCATTAGGCCAGGTTGCTCAGAGTCCCATCCAGCCTGGCCTTGGTGGGGATAAGGGTACAAGACACAGTGGTGTTTTCACAGCATGCTGGAGTGGTTTGGGTTGGAAGGGACCTTAAAGCCCATCTCTTTGCCTTGGTCAGGTCACCTTCTGTAGACCAGGTTGCTCCAAGCCTGGCTTTCAAAACTTCCGGGAAAAAGGGTACAAGGCAAAATGAGAGAGGGGAGAGCATCCCTGTGCCGAGAGTGTGGGGGTTTGGGAGACAGGGAGGGAAAACCCCCATCAGAAAGCAAAATCCACCTGAGGAATAGTCACCAGCACATCCTGGTGGGCTGCAGGGGGGTGTGGGGGCTGTCCCCACGCTGTCACTGACTGTCTGTCTGTCTGTCTGGGCACAGTGCTCGGTGACCTGCGGGGAAGGCGTCCAGCAGCGGCAGGTGGTGTGCAAGGGCAGCGACAGCGGTGCACGCTGCGAGGGTGACAAGCCAGAGGCCATCCAGGGCTGCCACGTGGCTGTCTGCCCGGGTGAGAGGAGGACGAGGAGGAGGTGGCACGGGGATGGGGCATGTGCTGGTGGGGATCAACCCCCACAAATGTCTCCAGCCCGTTGTGGCTTCAGGGGATGCCAGCAGACAAGGTTGGGTTGAACGTCCCTGATGCAGCTGGCAGTAAAAAAAACTAATTTCAGCCAGGCAAAATATATACCTTCTCTGCTCTTAGCCCTGGCATTGTCTGGTTTTGGGTTTCTGGCGGTTTGAACTTGTGATGAGCTGGTGGAGATGGGCACCCTCGAGTTTATCTTGGGTGGGGTTCGAGTGGCTTAAATGCTGGGTGCTTAGGGGATTTAATTTTTAAGGAGATCCCGTAAAACAAGCCAAACACCCTCCTGAGGTATTTTGAGTGCCCTCAGCCTGCCGTGGCTGCTGGGCATCGTGGTGCTCTCTCTGCAGGGAAGCTCTCTGGCATCACCGCCAGTGCCGATGCCGGCGACCACGGCACCACCAAAGGGCAGCGGGTGCCCCAGGACGGAGCCAAAAACCCCGTGAGCAAGATCTCCTCCAGTGAGTGCTCGTGTAAGGGCGGTGCTTGCCAGGATAACCCTCCCGAGGGCTTGTGCGGCTCCCTGCGGGAAGGGCAGAGGTGGGAGCGCAGCCAGCAGTGCTGCTGGGGAGTTTCACCCTCCGCTGCTGCCTCCATCCGCTCCAAAGCGCGATGCTCCATTGCCATCTTGTGGTCTACGAGCTCCTGCAGCTTCCCTTTGCCTCCCGGTTTTTATGCCCTTTCCTTTTTACCTTGGGATTTTTTTTTAAGCAGGGAAATGGCTTCTGGTTTTTCCCCCTTGGAGTCCTTCATAGCTGGGGCTCAGTGCATCTTGGTTTGGAGCATCCCTTGCTCTCTGTTTTTTCTCCATGCACAGAATCCTTCAGTACTTTGGCTTCATTTTCCAGGTCCCTCTTGCCCGTTTCCTATGTGGATAGGCAGCACCCTGAAACCCTTGTTTCCTTTGGGAATCCCATTGGAGGGGTGCAGGGCTGGGAGCCTAATGCCACCTTCTTTTCTGCTGCTCTGTCCCTGTCCAGGGGAGCCCTGCCTCGGGGACAAGTCCATCTTCTGCCAGATGGAGGTCCTGGCTCGCTACTGCTCCATCCCTGGATACAACAAGCTCTGCTGTGAATCCTGTGGGAAGAAAGCCTCCTCCTCCTCCACTGGCTCACCCCCTGTCACCAGCATTCCCCCGGGAGCCACCACTCCCAGCCCTGCTCTGGCGCTCCTCCCCTACCCCACTACCCCAGCTCGGGGGGAGCCTGCTGGGAACCCCACTGTGGCACCTGGGGTATCCAGCAGTGGTGCTTTTCCAGGGGAGCTGCCAGCCCCGAGGGAGCCAGGAAGGGGCCAGGGGGCCAGGTAACCTGCTGGGGACCACCTCCCTGTGAGGCTGGGAAAGCCTTTCTCCCTCTTCCCTCCCGTTCTCTCCATCTTTTTCCTCTCTCCCAACTTCCAGTGATGGTTTTTGTGGGTGGCACTGCCAGGTTTGGGAATGACCTGGCTCCACACCCAGAAATTCCTGGGAAAACCACTCATTTTCCATGGTCCTGCTTGCCCTCCTAGCTGTGCCATGGCGCTTTTTGACAGTGCTGTGGGAAAAAAAGATGGAAAAGAGCAAAAAAGGCTGCGGGTAGACAGGCTGCTTCCTCCCAAGGTGCTAAAAAGATGTGGGAGGGGGACGGCTTTAATGTTTCATTTTCCTTCCCCCTGCTCCAAGCAGCAACACAGGATGTGCTGGGCAGGAGGGTCCTGGCTTGGTGGTTCAGCCCTGGAGCTTGGGGATAGCAAGGGGAGGATCCTGGGAATCTGCTGGGGAAAACTGGAGGGAGGTGGTGAGGTGAGGAGAGGGGAAATGTGGGGAAATCCCAAACTGCTGCTTTGGGCTGTCCTTGCTAAGGCAGAGAGTTTGGGAAACGTGTTTGGGGAAGGTGGAACGTGACAAGCATAGAGTCCTGGAGGCAGGAGATGGTCGAGGAGATTCCAAAGTGAGCAATAAGAGCCACAGGTCAAAGACCAAAAAGTGATGGCAAAAATGCCTGTCACCTGGGGGTGACTTTTTTCCAGCCAGTGCTGCCCTTGGCCAGTGCCCAGGATCACCAGCCTATCCCTGCACCATGGACCCAGTGCCTCTGGGGCAGCAACAGCTTCCAGGGGAAATGGGAGTGACTGGGAAGCCAGGAGTGGATTTTAGGGGCAGTTACAAGGAGAGGAGAGAGACAAGGATTCATCTGCATCTCTCATTGCTTGGGAAGGGGTGGAAAGGGGGTGATTAGTGCCCTTACAAATGATTGTGCCAAGTACTAAAGGTTTGCACAGCACTTTAGGAGCCTTGGGCTGCCCTCTCCTTGCTGGGTGCTGGGCCAGCTCTGGGCACAGGGTTTGCCTTGACAAGTTTCAGTCCTCAAAAACCTCCCAAAAATGGTGTCCCTGTGGGGGCTTCCATGGTTTTGGTACTTCGGGCACCTCTGGTGCAGTGGCAGGGGAAGGTGGGGGAGGAAGTTTTGGGAACGGGGGAGGTGGAGTCCCAGGAAGGCAAGGCTTGGCAGACAGAGCAGTTTGGCATTGCAGAGTGGGATGTCCTTGGGAGCACGTGCATGGTGTGGGTGCTGGCCCTGAGGCTCCTGCTCCCCTGGTATGCAAGGAGGAGGATGTGGCATCCCTAGGGACAGCGTTTGAGCTCTGCAGGTAGCCAGGGCTTGTGGTGAGGTGGCCAGGGTGATATTCCCAGTCTGGCATGGCTTGTGACAGGGCTGAGGTGCTTGCTGTGACTGAAATGGATGGAGACCCCTCTGCATTCTGGATGTTTTAAGCGTTGGACTCTGCACTGCTCCCCCAGAGCTTCCCCACACCCTCCTGCTGCCGAGTCACAGCTGGGTGAGCATTTTTCCCACTCCTCTTAAAGCACCTGGGGCTGGAGGTCCTCGGCCCCCTGGGTGCTGCCCTTTGGCCTTAGGTGGGCATCCCAAAACATGGAGCAAAGCCCCCCATCTGTCTGAGCCACACAGCTGGCACACCTCGCGGGAGTGGGCACATGGAGGGTGCCTGTGGAGTGCCCAGACCCAGGACAGGCAGGTATTGGCACCCACAGGGGCTCCTGTGGGGATACCAGGGTGGGTTCATCCCTCCAGCCCTGCCGTGCCCCTTGCCAGGCCCTCCGCGGGCGTGCCAGCATTTATTTATTGTGCCAAAGAGAACGCTTTGTTTGCTCTCCAAGGAGCATAACAAAAAGACCTTCTTTCCCCTCAAAAATGGGCTGTGATGTCCTTTCTCCGAAATTCCCAGCTGCTCCCCTCCCTTCGGTGCTGGCCTAGGTTTGGTGCTTTATTGCTTTAGGAATATTTGCAGTGGTCCCTCCCTACAGCTCAGGGCAGAGCTGGGGCTGGGCACTGACCCAGCCTCGCACCCACAGACCCTGGGGGTGTCTGGGCAGGGGGCTGTGATCCTGACCTCAGGATCACCTGAGGGCTGGGGGAGATGTGGATCAGGCTGGGATAACCTCCCCCAGCAGCAGTGGGTGCTCTGGGGTGGTGGTGCTGCAGGGCTGCGTGTTTCATGGAATCCTGGAGTGCTTTGGGTTGGAAGGAGCTGTAAAGTTCATCTGGCTCCAGCCCTCCTGCTGTGGGCAGGGACACCTTCCACTAGACCAGGGTGCTCCATCCTGCCCTTGAACACTTCCAGGGATGGGGAATTTATTCCAGTTGAAGGCAGGCTGAGCTTGGGTGGCTTTATCCTGCCTCTGGTCCTGCCTCCAGGAGGAGAGGATGACTCTGATCCCCTGCACCCTCCTGAGCCAGGTGGGTGCATGGAGTCGTTCCTGTGCTGTAACCTTGTCCAGTGTTACCATGATGTATAAAGTTTTGTACATATGAGATTCAGAGCTTTTTAACTTTTAATATTTATTAATTTTGTTGGGTTCTTTTTTTTTTTTTTTTTTTTTTTTAACTTTAACAAAATGTAAAAAAAAAAAAAAAAAAATAAAAATAAATCCACATAAAAATCTCTTGCTGTTGATCTGTTTTGGGGATGTGTGTGTGGAGGGGGAAATATGAGCATGACCCATGTGTGGTTGTCAAAATGGATTTACTTTGTGTTACTTCAGCCCAGTCCCTCCTCTTTGTCAGCCAAAATTTCACATTGCTGTTTTGAGGAGGAAGAAAATCTCTAGAGATACACATATATAGATACACACAAATAGTTAAGCCAGTGCAAAAAAAATAAATATTGATACATCAGTGGTTCGGGCCAAAAAGAGCTCCTGATGCCATGGCTAGGTAAAGAGGTGAAAGCAGGGTGGGGATGAGGCCAGAGGGGAAGTGTCAGGGTCTGTTCTGGCAGCCCCCCTTTTCCTATGTGATGCCAAAAACCAGTTCCTGTTGCTGGGGTTTTTAGGGAAACTCTTGTACGAGATTTGGTGCTGCCTCAGTTGTCCCAGCTCATGGATGCTCCACTCCATCCTCAGAGCAGCAGCTTCCCTCTCAAGGACCACTCCCTGCCTGCTTGGCTGGTCCCCTGTGCCACTTTTTTCCAAGGACCGTGGTGGCAATGGCCGTGGTGGCACCTGCAAGGGAGGGAGGTGAGAAGTGGCTTTGCCCTCAGGGTGTGTGGGAGCTGCTCTAAAGTCACCTCACAAATGGAGCTTCCTGTGGAACCTTCACAGGTGGTGGTGATTGACTTAATTGTGATTGTGATTGTCTCCGTTTCTGGTCATTGATGCTGCTGCAATCCCTCAGAAAAGGCTTTATTTTCATCTTTCCTGCTTTACACCCTTTGAAATGTCTCCTGCAGACCTCTGGTTCTCACAGTGATGGTGGAACCACTACGTCTTTTGGGGTAATGAATCACTCTGTCCTTCCCCTTGTGTTTTTCATGGCCCCTCCTAAAAGGTTGAACCCAACCCCTACCAGGTCATTCCTTAAAACCCAGCCCACCCTGGATTCCTCTGGATCTTTGCAGGGCCTGCTTTTACAAGTGCTTTGCAAACCCTGCTTGGATTTTACCATGGAAAAACTCTTCCACATCTCTTTTGGGTGTTCCCTTCCACACAGCATCACTACAGCTCATCACACCTTTGGGTTTTTAGGCTGCAGCAGCCACAATATTTGGGCAAGGAGGGATTTTTGGGTTTATAAGGGATAGGAGAGGCTTGCAGCTGGTGTGGTTGTGGCTTTTCTTGCTGGGATGGCCGGGCCAGGCCAGGTGGGATGGCTCTTGGAGCAACTTGGTCTGGTGAAGGATGCCCTGCCCATGGCAGGAGGTGGAATGAGATGAGATTTAAAGTCCCTTCCAACCCAAACCAGTCAGGAATTTGGGTTCTGTGAGATGGGCCAGAGCAGGTGCTTGTCCCCAGCAGAACTGGAATTATGGCTGTGTCTCCAAACACCTTTTTCACTGCTCATTTTCCTACAGCAGCTATTGCATCCCTTCAGTACTCACACCCCTGGCCAGGACTGGAGCGGGTGGAACAGTTTTCTAGGAAAGCTTCAGCTTTCTTTCCCATGGCTTTTGCCAAAGGGTTTAATCTCAGCCCTGGAGCCTTGTTGGCTCAGCTCAGCCACTTCCCAGGCTCCCTGCCTGACTCACCAGCCCTGGCCCTGAGCTTTCCCTCCCAGCTTTTCCTGCAGGGATCTCCTCATGGCACAGCTGCTGTGGTTTGCCCAGCTGTGTCCCGTTGCAGCTTCCCAGCTTTCTCCCTGCATCCCTGGATTGCTGGGCAGGTTATAACAGCAACCCTGCCAGGAGCTGCTGCTCCTGGGGCGCTGCAGACCGATGTCACTGTGGCTGTCAGAGATGCTGTGCGTGTCCCAGGAAAGCCCTGCAGGGATCCTGGTGTGCTGTGCATGTCCCAAGGCAGCTGCCAGCCCTGCAGTGGAGGCTGGGGATGTGCAGCTTCCTGTGAGGCTGGCTGCTGCCACAGTTCAGTGCTGGGATTTCCACTGTGGCTTTGGTGAGTTACAAACGGGGGTGGTTTGTTTTGGTTTTTCCTGGACTCTGGGGACTCTCTGGGCCCCAGCAGTCAGGAAATACAATTCCTGTATTTCAGGCTGCCTAGGAAGGGGAGAGCAGTGGCTGATCAGAGAGAGCTCCACCCCAGCTGCCTCTCCACTAAATTCCCAAGGAGAGCCCATCCTTGCCATTATTCAGAGGCATTCCCTCACTGTTTCTCGTGGTGGTTTTGTCTCTGCAGCCAGCTGGAGCAGACAGGCAGATAATGTTTTACCGCCCCATTTGGTGGGAGGTGTCCATGCGCTCTCCTGAGGGCTGGAGGGAATGTCTTGTCAATAAGAGTGACTTGCAGGGGGAAAGAAAACACGGGAAACTTCTTGTGCTGGCAAGCCTGGAGGCCAGGAGGGGACGGCATTGCCACCCAAAACCCGGCTCAGAGGGGTGAGGGCTGCCGAGGGTCAGCCCTGGTCCATCCCTGGAGCTGTGGGACATCCCTGCGGAGCCGGAGCGAGGTTTGGTCCCGATATCCCCGCGGGATGCGGCTGCAGCCGCTGGAGGTCACTGCGGGTCTGCAGCTCCACAGAGGTGACAGGAGCGCTGCTCCTCCTGCCACATTCCTGGGAGATGGATGGACAGTGGCTGTCCCGGGGTCTCCATCAGGAGTCACAGCTGACACTCCAACCCTGCCCGACTGTCCCTTTCCCTTGCTGCTGGATGGAGTGACTCTTTGGGAGGCTGAGGGAGCTGGAAAGGGGCTGAGCCTGGAGAAAAGGAGGCTCAGGGGGACCTTGTGGCTCTGCACAACTCCCTGACAGGAGGGGACAGCCAGGGGGGGTCGGGCTGTGCTGCCAGGGAACAGGGACAGGACAAGGGGAAAGGGCCTCAGGCTGGGCCAGGGGAGGCTGGAAATGAGGAAAAATGTCTTCATGGACAGGGCTGTCAAGCACTGGAACAGGATGGATAAAATACACCCAGCTCCAGGTCCCTTTCTGCCCACCCAGACTGAGGTGACTCCAACCCTGCGGGCACAGTGTCACCTTTCCTGTGGACCTGGGGCTGAAAGGTCTCTTCTGGGAGGGTTTGGAGCCATTGCCAAGGAAATGGGTGACTTTACCAAAAGGCCCATGGTCCTTCATTGCTGTTTGAGCATCTAACCAGGACTGGGGGAAAAAAAAAATGTCCTTGGGAGGGCTTGGAAAACCTCAGGATTCAGTGGCTCAGCAGGACAGCAAAGCTTCCAGCAGCCATGCAAACTGGTGAAATCCATATTCAAATGCCCTCACCCCTTCCAAAGGGTCTGGAAACACATTCCCCACTCCAAGCCCAGCTACAGGACCTGGTCCCTCTGGCAGGACAGGTATCCTTTGGGACTGGAAGTTGAGCTGATTTGGGGTAAATATCAGCTGGATGACAAATCTGCCTTTGTCAATCTCTAGAGGAGGAGGAAGAGGAAAGGGAACACCCTAAATACAGGCCTAGAAAGCAGGTTCTTGCTGGAAGTGCCTCTGCCTTCTGCCCTTCCATGTGTCCAGGAAAGTTAAGAGTCAAACAGAGACAATGTGAAAACACAGGGCATTTATTTCTGTACAGAACCAAGGCACTGGTAATTGGTGTCTCCAGATGGAAAACCAGGCAAGTCTTCTCCACTGGACCAGGACTCAGTGCTAATATTTCAGGCTCATAATTAAAAAAAAAAAACCCCTATACTCCATATCCCTCTTTTCTTTCCTAAAAAGCTTGTTTTGTAACACCAACACGCAAAAAGGGCTAAAAATACTTCCAAGGCACATTATTATCAGGAAGGAATGGAGAAATGCTGCTTTTTCCTCACCAGCCTCCCTCCAGTCCTGGGGGTGTTGGGTGGTGGTGGATGATGAAAATTCAGTTTGGGAGGCCAACCTCCCAGCCAAGGAAAGTCATTTATTCTCTTCACTGGGGACTTCCAGCTGGCTGCAGATGTGTCCCCTCCTGACAGCTTTGATAAACGGGGAGAAAACACAACATTTTGGGATGCAGTCCTCCAGGAGAGTTTCTTGGGCCCTGAGAAACTCATCCACTTGCAAAATAAGGCTGTTTTTCATGAGGAAAAGCTTGGTTTCCAGCAAGGCCTTTCCCCATGAAGGGGAGGAGTCCAGGAGAGGGAAATCTTTGGGGTGTGAGGGCAGGTTTGGAGGCAAGGGGTGTGTCTGTTCTTCAGCAGCTCCTCCTGTGCTCCCTTCTGATGTCCTTTTTCTCATTCCATTTTTCTCATTCAGAGGTGGTTGTGGAGGAGAATCCCAAAGTGTTCTGACTCCTTATTCTTTTTCTGCAGTCAGCAGGAGGTTGCAGAGCTTGGAATTGGTTTGGTGCAAGGCAAATTCCCTGCCGGGCACGGTGCCATGCCGGCCCTTCCGAGCCGTGCTGCTCCGGCTCCCGGCAGCCTGGGAAACTGTGAGCACTTCTCTGTGGGACACAGTGACAGCAGGATGGTCAGGATTCTGTGCTGGATCTCATCCTTCTCCTCCCAGACCAGCCCAGTCGCCATCTCCTGATGGTCTTATGGATGGTGCTTCCACCCACATCGGGAATTTGTGGTGCCCTTCCCTCATCCCTACCAATTCCCACCCAGTAAGTGCAACCATTAATCCTCTCCTCTTCCCAAAAAGTCCTCCTTTATCTCAAGCCCACCAGGATGCTTCTACAGGACTGGGTGCTACCTGTATGGGACCTGTTCCTCTCTCAGCTGCAGGCACATGAGCACGGGGCTGCTGGAAAACCTCAGCTTGGTGTCGAAGTGGATGGAGGTCTCCACCTCTGTCTGGCTCCTCAGGGTGGCTTGGAGGAAAGGGGAATCTAGTTCTGCCTGGAAATCCATGGCAAAGCTTCCCCTGGGAGAGAGAAGCACGTAGGGCCTGGTCACAGAGCAATGGCCTGAGCTGGGCACCAAAC